TCTGCCACAAAATACACCAAAAGCAGCGAAAGAAGAACCCCGAGCATGGTTGCCATGGTTGCCCTTCTGTTTATGACCCGCGGTGGATTTAGCAACATGTAGTTCATGTAATTCTCCATGTCCACTTGTTGCTGATGGTTGTGGTAGAGGAGCTGTAGATTTTGCACTAGCATCTGGTCAGTAGCAGTAGCAGTAGCTACTGACAGTAGCTACTGACCATGCTACAGCAGTGAGCAGCAGAGGTGGGGCTATGGCTTCATCCTTATCAGGAAATGATCGTATAGGACGTACACACGGAGCCGTTTGGCCCCCCAGAGTATTCAGTTTGCAGATCTATCCACCATGGGACCCGTTATCGTTTGCGGGGTCCGTTTGCGTGTTTCCGTTACGGCCTCGTGTGAACGANTAAACATTGATTGATTTAGGATCAAGACCACCTAGGATCTTGATTCTGGTGGCTAATCCTACATTTTCAAGGATGGAGAATGCATTGGTACTATTTACAACATGCTAGAATGTAGCTAACTATATGTATCTGGTATTCGGGGAACAAAATACACAGTAAACCATTAACATATTTATTATGGTGAAGTCATACATGTTACATAATATATATGAAATATTACAGGTTTTCAACTAAATGCAGACTTAGTTCTGAAAACACAGTCCACCACAGTGGCAAAGGGCAGTGTACTGAATTGCTACCTTGAAATATTCAGGAGGAGTTCACGACAGGCCTGGGTTGATTGGGCTGCTGTGATACCACATCCGTGTCAAATGTGCATATTGACACCTTGCTATACCCTTCCTTCACAGCATCTCCTAGGTGCAGTAGGATGCGGGTATCAGCCTCCTCATGTGTGCATGTTGCAAGTACTGATTATTTGTTTGCCAGTGTTGAGGGCTGTCGCACTGGTTGCNTTCTGAAAACACAGTCCACCACAGTGGCAAAGGGCAGTGTACTGAATTGCGCCCAATCGACCCAGGCCTGTCGTGAACTCCTCCTGAATGTGTCAAGGTAGCAATTCAGTACACTGCCCTTTGCCACTGTGGTGGACTGTGTTTTCAGAACTAAGTCTGCATTTAGTTGAAAACCTGTAATATTTCATATATATTATGTAACATGTATGACTTCCCCATAATAAATATGTTAATGGTTTACTGTGTATTTTGTTCCCTGAATACCAGATACATATAGTTAGCTACATTCTAGCATGTTGTAAATAGTACCAATGCATTCCCCATCCTTGAAAATGTAGGATTAGCCACCAGAATCAAGATCCTAGGTGGTCTAGATCCTAAACTACTGGTAAAATAACAACCATTGGCGCCATTGGACAAATTTGCAATGGCCCTCTAGCCAAAAATCTTCCTTAGGGCATGCTCTAACAGTGTGCCAAATTTCATGCTTTTATCATCAAAAGCACAATTCTTTCACATATCTGCTGGACTACTACCTCTTAATGCAAGCAGTCTGCCTTGATCTTCATAATAGAGCTCTGGAAAAAAGTAAGAGACCACTGCAGCACTATCAGTTTCTCTGGTTTTACTATGTGTAGGTATGGTTTTGAGCAAACGTAAACAAATCTTATTTAATTATTTAAACTACTGACAAATACTACTGTTGGAATTCAACAGACACTGGAATGTAATGGTTTCCATACATTCAGAGATTGAGA